AGCTAGGTAGCTGGGATTTGGGAAGGATGCATGATGTGATTGGGAAAGAGATGGGAGCAACAGAGAGTATCCCAATTCTCTGTGGAAAGGAGAAATAGGGTAAAAAGAAAAAATATAGGGAAGTTACAGATATGGAGTGTGCAACTCCAGCATGTCTTTGAATGGAAATAAATGAAAAAGCATGGAGAAATGGAAAAACTCACGTTAACTTCCCCAAGTTTTGTACCAAATCCTTTGCAAATTATATAGCATGGAAAAAGGAGTGTTTAAATATGAAGAGCCTGGTCCACCTCTTCATTTCAACCGAATGATGTAAACTCACAATGGGAACAGGTATATGTAGAAGAACATAAGAAGGGACATATCAAAGCTCTTTCCATTCCAAGTCACTGTTTTTCACTTACTTTGGAAAGCAGAAAAAATACAGGGTGAAATCACATGAGAAAGATAGTGAAATTATGTGGGAAGGTTTCTCTGAAGACAGTTCCGTACTTTTACGCAACAATACAACTTTTTGTTCATGACTGTTTTCATTTTGGCATGGCTTATCAATCTGGCATGGCTTCTTTCCTTCAGAAGTTTCAGATGTTTGCAAAGAGGAGAAATCACGAGGAAGGGTTATTACATTTAATATAGATGAACAGCTTATCTGTTATCAACATCCCAAAGAGGAAACAAGGTATAATCTATTGCACTACTACTGGAGCAAGACTACATGTTGGATTACTCAATGAATAATGCTGGAGAGCAGTAAAATGGGCCATCATTCTTAGTATTTAGTCAAGTACACAGAATTTTCCTCATTTGACTTGATTTTTTTAAGACAGATAATCTAATAAAAAATAAAACCAGTCTAAATGTCAGATTGCAACTACAGAATATTTTGACTGTCAGAAGACCAGAAATTTGGTACTGTTTCCTCAACTGAAAGATTTTTTTTTTTAAGTTCTAGATGTATTTGCTCATCTAAGGGCTTTTCAGCTCTGGTGGAAAATTCCTCACTACCTCACTACAACTATTACAGTTGGTGTCTGTTGGAGAATGTGATAAATGTTAACAATAACTCAAAGAATCACGTAAAAATCGATTGCTGATATGGGTTTATAGGTACAAATTTTACAAATTATTATCTTCTATGCAGTTTTTCAAATCTGGGCTGTGTCTTCCCTTAGCTTCCTGAGAAAATCTGCTATCATCTGCATCAGAGACTAAAAGTGCATGCTCTTGATAGTCACTTGGGAACTATCAGCATAACCTCTGGTTTTCTGTCCTTTATTTTTGTAATGCTCACTGACTGGAAAATTGAATAAACATGTAACTGTAAACGGCCCTTCGGAAAATCCAGAACTTTCACAGAGCAGTCATGAGGACGATCCCTTGTTCCCCATGTCTCAACTTTGTGGTGGTCTGGGAGCCAAAAAAGACCCTCCCCTGGCAACCTCCAAAGATGAATAAGTTAGAAAAATAGTTGTACTTGGGTATTTTGTTTCCTGGCATCAAAGCTTCTTGAGAGAGAAATGTGCTATTATGTGACATTATTCTTTTTTTCTTCCTGTAATAGCTGTGTCAGACACTCAGGATTTCCTTTGTGCATTTAAAATTTGGAATCATTCAGGAAGAAGCCTGATTCAGATGAGAAACCTACTGAGGGTTCCTCTCATCCTGTTGTCAGTGATAGCACTTTTATTGGGATAATCTGGACCTGCAACATGCACCTCATATGTGGGTATGCACTGGAGGAAACAAGGAAATTTTCCTCCAACCTATGGGATGCTGTAGCTTATATTGCTTTAATCTCTGGGGTGGCAGTGGGCCCACCTGCACACCTGGGAGCCTTGACCCATTTCAGCATAAAAGGTCCTTGTTACTTCATCCTGAGAAGTTTTAACATCTTTGGTGCTTCCAGCAGGGCTTTGAAATATGGCTCTGTGAGGAGTGTGCACATACACATGTGGCAGGACAAAAAGGAGGGAACTCTTAGTGTAGAAAGAAATACTTTTGTCTCGCAAAATTATTTTTCCAAAGATGTTCCCACTTCTCCCTACAAGAGCTTAGGAAAGCTGTGGCAGCTTGCCAGCACCACAAGCTGATACCAGTGTAGGTCCACTGCAGCCAGCACAGCAGGAGAGATTACAGGGATGCTGGAGCTGCTCTCTGGAAAAAAGGGACTGAGAGATGATTCCTCTTTTGTCCCATTCCAGAAGCCCTCTCCACCCCCACTTCCATCGGTTCTCTCCACAGGCAAAAAGGTGTGTGTGGCTGGTAGCTGAGTGTGTTAAAGGTTGCTCAGATAGATTAAGGCTTCTGTGTGGCTGTCACAAGCAGTCAGCGTTGGTGTCGCTTGGTGAAGAGGTGTTTGCATGCAAATGGAGTAGACTTTCTTAAAAAATAAATTAGCAACACACATGAGAAACTCACACTTCTTTTCTGTGGAAAATGAAGTACTCTGAAGTTGGGAAATGCCAGATATTTGTCTGTCTGGCCAACCTAAATTCAGCCTGGTGTATGTGTGCCCTGCTATGATCTTCAGTTGCCTTTCCCATGGACTCTCTTCCCCTGGGCCCTGATTCATATGAAGTTAGATCTGGTTACAAAATCAACACTTTGAAATTAGGAATTATCAAACCTGGGGATTCCCGAGTATCTTTCATTCTGAAACATTGCATACTTGCCATTCTCCATTTAGTTTTGCCTGAACTGAACACAAAGTGTCACACTGTAGAAAAACTCCTGTTGAATCCAATAACCTGAAAGGAACAATGGTGTGCATGGACTGTGTGTACCAGTACAGCATTACTACACTTAATGGATCAGCTCATCCATTTATGATGGATGATCCACCTGTCACTTTTCGAGAATCTAAACCAAAGGTGAGTATAAACTCCAAGACATGGGAAGGAGAAAAGCAAATAATGTGTGGGCTGTAAGCAGAATTCAGCCTTTGTACTTAACAGTAGAGTGGAATTGTAAGAAAACTGGCAGATATTTAAAATCAATAGGAAGATAACACCTCCAGCCCCCAAAACAAATTATGAAAATGCTTTAAAAAACAACTTCAGCCATAAAGAAAACTAAATATTACAGACTTTTTTTATTATTATTTTGAGTCTTGAGCTGAGGCTTGTTTTTGGTTTTCAGAGAATCATAGAATTGTCAAGGTTTGAAGAGACTTTTAAAATCTTCATGTTCAACTGTTGACCCAGCACTACCACTGTAACCCCTAGGCCTCTAACCCATGTCACCCAGTGCCAGATCCAAATGTCTCTTAAACATCTCCATGGTGTCATTTGTCACTGACCTGCTGCCTAACACAAGCAGGCCCAGACATTTAGTGTTTTGTTTAGTAACCAAGTAGGTGTTTATTACAAATTGTCTCTCTTATTACTTTTTCTTCATGTGGATGTCTACCCCTAAGATTAATTTAATAGTAACAATATGTTACAATTTTCAGCCCTAACTAATTTTTGTTTTTCACAAAGAATATTTTTCTGACATTTTGCACATTGTGGTGCCAGTGGAGGTGAACAGATGCAGCTGAACTGTTAAGACAGAACCCTTCCACAAAATGTAGTTGAATTGTTAAGACAGAGTCCTTCCCAGATGACTCTTGTTCATTGTAACATGCTTACTAAATATGACAAAGTTTTCTGCATCAGCAGTGCTGGATCTGAGTGTGTTGACCCCTTCTCAGTAAAAGGTTTTTGACACAAGTGCCCAAAGGCATATGAGTTCCAGTTGTTTGTAACTATAAAGTACTGGTTAAAACTGACTTGAGTTCTGAAAAGATTTTACTGTAAAATATTTCCTTGTCTGAAGCAGAATGCACTTGACGGTATTTTCAGACTAAATGTGCCTAAGCACCATTTTGATGTATTTTGAATATTAAAGAAACAGCTTAGTACCTCCATGGGAAAAATTACTAAAAGAGTTTTTTGTTCGGTTGGTTGGTTTTGTTTTTGGTTTTTGGGTGTTGGCTCTCTTTTTTTCTTTGTTCACCAGGTTATCCTCAGCTAGTTTATTTGTTGTTTCAGCAAAATGAGTGCACTCCTGTGTTATTTCGGGAATACAACTACTCCTGGGACTGGGTGCAGAACACACACATGTGACTTTACCCGGATTCTTCCCTTATCCTTCAAAGCAACTCTTCCAAATTGTGTCTTTAGTCCCTTCAGCAGGTATGTGTGGTATAAGATAAAAGTAGGCAGTTCCCTTACTTGGAGAAACATATAACATGGCAAGAGAGGTAGCGCTGCTTCCAGTGCATGTAACAGCTACCACATGCCTAACATTTCTCTGTGACTTTTACTAAGCCAGCATTTAAAGTGAAGCTGGCTCTGAAGTGAAATCCCCTTAGGAACTGCAGGTGGGCAGCCTGTGACACCTTCATTCTATCAAACTGAGGGAAATAGAATCTTTTAATTGCCAGTCAAGTATCACAGTTGGCTGGCTTCACAGACTGTCAAATATGGGTTCGTGTGTTCTGCCATAACAACCCTTTCTTGTCAACTTTATTATGTTTTGCTCTTCCTTTCAATTTTCCCTTAACTGGGAGAAAAAAAAAATTAAAAATTGCTTAGTTATTAAGACATCTCTTTCTATCTTGGAGAGATCCTATAAAAATTTCTCAGGTGACTTTTACTTCCCTGAATACGTCTTGTAGACTGTCCAGTTATCTAGGAGACTGTGGGGAAACGAGCACATTGAGATCAACTTAACACTCTTTAGCCTCTGAAGCTTATAGGTTAAGCAAAAAATATGAGTCCAAAAATATGAGTTAAAAAACATGAGTCAATCCTGATATAGCTAAAACAGAGCCCCACAGTCTTTGGGCCCGTCCAGCTTCTTCATACCTTGACCCAACAAATTTACACCCATAGGGCCACCTCTGTTATTTATAGCGTCTTGTTTTCTTTCATAAGTTTAATTAAAATTATTTGTCAGTAACTACTGTGACTAAACCTTTGTGATAATTCAGACCTTGCAGGCCAAACATATGAAAATGATTGTTTCAGTAAGGTCTCAATAAGTTTGATTAAAACCTGCTACAGTTGAACTTTTTGAGCAGTTTGGTCAGGAGCTGAGTTGGAGAATACTCTGTACTTCTCCTGGAAAGCTGTCATTCCAGTATATAAAGAAGTGGATCATCTCTCTTGGGGATAAAAAAAAAAGAAAAAGAAAGGTAAGTTTCAGCATGACAGTTTTGCCACACTATCTAGTGATCTTACGTTAAAAATAAGCACTTTAAAAATAATTCATGGAATGAGATTGAAACACAAGAGCTGATAGATCCAGTGTTATGAGGAGGGCTGAAAGGAGCAGGTCTCTCTGCAGTCACTTCACCTCATTTCAATTAGGAAGTAAATATTAAAACCACACGAGTAGGTAATTAAAATGTATGCAGTATTTTAAAATGCTTGGGGTGTCCTTATTCTGATATTTCTACAGACAAAATGGATTGCACCAAAAGAAAAAAAAAAGAAAGAAAATAAAGAAAATAATTGTCAAAATGTGCTTTAATGAATGCTGTGGGATTTTTGTTTTCCATGTGATTGCCATTGTTTATCAGTACTTCAGCTCAATTCAACTGCAGAGGAGATAAAATGTTGGTACACTTAATTGTCAAAAACCTTTATCTTTCACTTCCACAGGCATATACTTTTGGTCTACAACTCACTAAATCTGGGTATGGCAGCTTCTCTGAATATTTGATGTGGGTTTGTGATAACTGCAGTACAGAATTTAATTAAGAGGCATAAACTCTACAAATATGTTCAAAATGTCTACAGATCTTCCATTCTTCGTTGGCTTCCCTTGACTTTTCCATCAATTTCTCTTGATCCCTACTTTTTGCAAGGTCTGCAGTTATGATGTTAAAATTCAGAAATAATTATTTCGCTATCTGTTCTGTATTCCATCTCTTAGTTTCATCTTGAAGTAATTTTGCACAGCTGTTATGCCTAAATTTTGGTTGTATGTCTTACATGATTTTTGTTTCTACAGTAGGCAAAATCAATATTTTATTATATCCATGAGATACATCATTAGGATTGCAATTATCCTATTAAGTAAGCTTCAGCTTTGCCTTTAACATACAATATATACAGTAATATTTGTGCTATTAAGTAGCTCTCTGTATCAGAAAACAACACTTTCAGGCTTTATTTTAAGTCTACCTGTACCTGCAAGATCATGCCTACCACGGGATGATGCCAATGTGGTTCTGTTAGGTTTGTGTAGGGAAACACTTTTGACAATAAAGATACCATTTTGTCAGTGTGTTAATGAGAGAAGGAACAGTTTCTGTTGCTGAAAATGCTGGATTAGAGTTCTGGGCTCAGCAGAAGGATTGGTTTTCTACAGAAACGTTATTCAGCTACTCTATGTCACACATTAATCTTTCTTCAATAACAATAATATATATTAATTTTTCCTATTGTATTGATGTAAGATAGATATGAGCAAGTAGAAGGAAGAGGCATAGGACTCACTGCATTATCAAAACTGTCTCCTTCAGAAGGTAGGAGACAAACCTCTTTTAATATCATGATTTTCTTATAGTTAAATTGAACAAGAGATGAGGTAAAAAACCCACACCTGAAATTCATTATACATCTGAGATGTCACTACTTTCTGTATTAGGGTTTTGATCTTTGTCGTTTCATCTATGGGCAGATGTTGCTTTTCCTTGCATGAATGCAAGGCATATTTATGGTGTCTGTTTATGTATTTATTTAGCTGATTAATTGTTTTTAACAACTATTAATTACTCTGGTCCCTGTGCTTGCTTCTTAACAGTGTAAACAAAGCTCTGGAGCTTAATGGAATTCCTCAGGTGCTTAAAACCAAGCATTTTGCATTCATTTCAGGATCAAGTTCTTAGTCCTTTTACTTGTATCCTGATCTAATATAGCAATTTTTGACACTTGAACTCAGCTTCCTTCGCCAGAGAATTTGTGCAGAGTGTATATGTGCTGTGAGGATGTGTTTTTATTGCAACAATAAATCCCTGAAAGAGGAGTTTGTAACGGAAACTCTGACTGCTCTTTAAATGACCATGGAACCAGAAGGCTTGGCAACACTAACAAAAACAAGGGCATATTTTAAAATTAGGCCTACCATTCTTACCTTTATAAGGACTAGAGAAAATTCATTGAAACCTTCAACCAGCAATGCTGACTGTATTGCAGAAACTTGATCCAAGACCTTAGATAAGTCTACATAGTATCAGACAGACAGGGGAACCCTGGACATAAAACAAAGTGCCACAGGAAGTGGCATTGTGATTCAGAAGACGACATTCTTCACCCTGAGTCACTCAGGCCTTGCTGGGGTGCTCTCCTGCAGGTGAATTCCATCAGTGACGTTCCAAGTACTGACCACTGCAGGCTGTAAAATATTGGATAACACTTGTCCCAAGAATAGCAGCATCTATTCTGGCTTTTGGCTATGTTAGAGATTGGGTAATTACTTTAAAGTTCTGGTTGCTTTAATTGCCTATGGTTCTTTTTTCTATACTTCCTTCCCTTTGATCTGTGTCATGCTGCTGGCACTGTTATAATTCTGTTGTGTTTCCAGGGGTGACTGGCTTTGTTTTATGCCCAAGAGGATCTGGGTAGATTTCACTGATTGCTGAGTTGCTGTTTCTGTCATACCTTTTTAGCTTATGACACCATTGAAACAAAAGCTGAGCTGCCTTTCCTGTTTGGAAAGTGCCCAGCCTACTGGGATTCATATACAAGTAAGACTACTGCTAACCTGGGGAAGACTGAAATTTGTGCTATGCCAGTAAATAAAAACAGTCTTGACATAGCATCACAAGCACAAAAAAGCACAAAGTACATAGGGAGAAGGCTCCATTCCCACACAGCAGACATACTGAGCTCGAGTCAGTTATATTTTATTTCAGCCACATTAATTGTCAGCCACATGTATCTACATCAGGAACACTTAGCACATACTCATAAAGAATGAGCAATTACTCTACTCTTGAAGGTTATTTTTAAAATAAGGAAGTTCTTTCTTACAGTTATACAATAATAAGCATTGCAAATAATGTTGAGGACCAAACTAGGTAATAGAAGCACAAATAAACTTAATTCTCCTGAAATTCAGTTGAATCGTTATCTAGAATGCCATAATAACTGATTTTATTTCTTTTCAGTGGAAACTACTTAATCAAATGCAAATATTAGAATGACTCTGAGGCTCAGAAACCACACACCAAATATCTGGTTTCAGTAGATTTTTATGGTGGCTTATAATGGAAATGCTGATAGAACTTCAGCCATTGCCTTGATACCAAATGCAGCTATAATTCCAAATTAACATGCCTTATGTTATCTGCTAGCTCAGCTACTTGCTTTGCATTCATTATGATATAAGAAATGCTGGTCCCTTGGTCATTTAGTAATTTTGATGTCTGCAAGTGGATGCTTTGCATTTTTCTTCTATTGAAAACATATAGCAGAAAATACTCTTTTACTTATCTGTTAGAAACCGGATCTCAGTAAATACTGTGTTTTCACTTGGTTCTGTTGATTTCAAAGAACTGAGAATACACAGTGACTCACAAGACATGTTGGCACCTGGCAGAATCATGTTCTAGTCAATCTGTGTGGTGCTTGGTTGTTTCAGTTGGCAAAGAGTCATGCAGATATTGCGTTTTATTGTATTATACATTCCAATCCAAGTGTTTTTGCAAACCTTGAAGTTTGCTTTAAGTTCCAGATCCAAGTGTTTTTGAAGAATTAGTGTAAAAATCCTTCAGGGTACTACATTTCTTGACTTTAAAAATGAAAATATGCTAACTGTAAATTTCATAAAATTGTGGTGAAGGAAAATGAAGCAGTGTTATTAAGGTTGCAACTCAGAGCAGGTTCAGAATCTCTATGAGTTTTAATGGACCTTTAATACACATGCTGCTGAGCTAGAGGTCTATTTCTAAGCCCCAAACACAAGGCATTTAATGTAAAAACTAAAAGAAACCCAGCTGATATTGCCATAATCAGCAATTATTTTACTCAGTTGTTAAGTAAGGCACCGGCCTGCCTGCCCTTGGCTTTCTCCAGAATTTCCACTAAAGACAATAGCCTATTTAAACACTCAGCAAGTATATCCTCTTGCTTTATTTCCTTGGTTATTTTTGAATATTAACAGCCTTCTTATGCATGTACCTATGTACTTATACGTGTCCTTTTAATACCTTAATCTGAACCGGTTTTAGTGTCCTTTGTCAACTACTGAACAGCTATCTAGTTGCTGATTTTGTGCAAAGATTACAAAGGAAGCAGATGAAAGTAGATCTAAAGGCAAGAACTTGAGAAAAGCCTTAAGAATGTATTAAGAAATGCCAAATTTTAAAATGAAACCTGAGTTTCAGTTATATCTTTTTTGGAGGTGTGGCTTGCCCTCATTACAGAGCTGATTTCAGTTATTCTTTTAGAGTTGACTTTAAACCCAAATCTATATATCTCTACATTATACATGATGGTGCTTTTAACTTGAGATATTGATCTACCAGAGAGATTAATCTAAGCTTCAGCTAACACAACTCTTCAGTTATTAACAGGATTCAAGCTGCCTCCTCTTCTTTGCTCTTAGTCTTTAAATGCCTGTCCAAAACTTCCCTCTTGCTCTAGAAGAGTCTGGAGGTTACCTCTCAATTCACACAGCAGCATTTCAGACCCCATTTCAGCTATTCAGAGACTGAGGACAAGTGCTGTCCAAAGAAGGGTGACATGTCCAGAGAAGGGCAATGGAGCTGTTGTAGGGTCTGGAGCACAAGTCTTATGAGGAGCAGCTGGGAGAGCTGGGGTTGTTTAGTCCAGAGAAAAGGAGGCTCAAGAGGACATTATTGCTCTACAACTTCCTGAGAGGAGGTTGTAGTGAGGTAGAGTTTGTTCTCTTCTCCCAAGTAATAAGTGACAGGAAAGAGGAAATGTCCTCAAGTTGTACCAGTGGGGGAGTTAGATTGGATATTAGGAAAAATTTCTTTGCTGAAAGGGTGGTCAGGCATTTGAATAGGCTGCCCAAGGAAATGGTGAAATTACCATCCCTGGAAGTGTTCACAAGATGTGTTGGTGTGGCACTTGGGCGCGTGGTTTAGCAGTGAACACAGTGGTGCTGGATTAGTGGTTGGGGTCGATGATCTTAGAGGTCATTTCCAACCTTAGCGATTCT